TTTTAAAGTAAAACCAATACTGCACTCATCCCTGAGATCTGCAGTTCAACCAGACAGCCATCTTAGCAGGTCCAGATACCATATAAATGCCAGGAGAATCCTCTCTTCCAGGTGTGGGATCAGGGTAGCATAAGAAGCCGAAGGATGGTGCTGCCTGGTGAGACAGCTTCTTAGTTTACAAAAGCACATTCTACGATGGGCCCATGGCGTGACGTTGCCTGATGATGCATTGCTCAGAAGTCATCCCATTGCTGGAGGTATGCGTTCACTTTGAGCAATGCATTGGCTGAATAAATTTTGATCTAATCAGATGATGCAGTAATGTTCATTTTAAAAACTGATTGAGAGGGCTGGAGAGATGGCTCAGTAGGTGAGAGTGTTTGCTGTGCAGGACTGAGGACCTGAGTTCAGATCCAAACACCACATTAAAAAAAAGCTAGATGTGGCCATGCACAGGTCTGTAACCCCGACACTATGAAGGGTAGAAAGAAGGGGCCTGCTGGGGCTTGCTGGCTGCCTGCCTAGCTCCAGGTTCAGTGAGAGTCCCTGCCTCAAAGCAATCAGGTAGAAAGTGATAAAGCTGACATACTTCTCTGGCTTCCATGCAATTACACTGGCACACACACTTTCACACTTCTTTGCATACACCACACGAAAGTGATAAAGCTGACATACTTCACACACACACACACACACACACACACACACACACACACACTGACTGAACATCGCTTCCACAGTAAGCACTGTTTTGGTGCTTGAGAAATGATGAACTACACCCCAGCCTTCCCCTGATACGGCCTATAGTCTAGTGTGAAGAACATCAGTGAACTAGTCACACAATCACCTGCATCGTCATAAATGCAGGAACAGCTAGGCTCACTGACTACACTACACAAGGCCATGTTCTGGTCTGAACGCTGTGGCAACCTTTCCCTTGAGTTGATAACATGGACAGAGAGAGTAGGAAGCAACACGATTAATGTCTTTATACGAAGTAAAGGTGTCTAACGTGAGATGAGGTTCCAAAGGCAGGCAAGACCAATCCTGAGGTCGGGCCTAGATGTAGTGATGTACACCTATAATCCTAGCATTTGGGAGGCTCAGGCAGGAAGTTTGCTAGGAGTTTAAGGTCAGTCTGAGGCACACAGCAAGACTCTGTTTCGACCCCTTTCCCCACAAGAAAAAAATTTGTGTTTTATCTTAAGCATAAATGGAAGTCAAAGAAATGCTTTCACAAGGGAGCTGTGGGATGCAATCGGCTGTGTGTGTGTAAAAGATCATTCATGCTGGAGTGGAGAGGAGGTCATGAAAGAAGAAAGGGAAGCTCCAGGCAAGCCAGTGAGGAAGCTATTGCCGTTGTCCATGGAAAATCCACTAGCACCAAGTAGGAGAAGAAATGCAGACAGAAGCAAAGCTGGATCTCACGTGCCCTCAAAGGTAAAACTGGGAGGTCTAAGTCACTGATTTCCTGTGAAGTGAAAAGGAGGGGAGAAGCCAAAAGATGACCGCCAGGCTTCTAGTTCTGGTCATGGGCATCATTCCCTGAGGAAACAATGCAGCATCACGCCCACAGGGGAAGGAGGTCCCACTGGGAGTGCTGAGAAAGAATCAGCAGTTATCGAAAGAAGGGCGCGATCTAGCTGGGGGTGGTAGCAGAATGTACTGGGGTCCTGGTGTGGGAAGAAGCTAGCTAGGTGGCTATGCAGTTTAAAGGAGTCTTGGTGCTAAGACAGAGACTGAAGGCAACCAACAGATGTCAAATGAGTGGCTGCTATTCCCCAGGGAGAGAATATGGATGGCAAAGAAAGAGGATCTATTATGGGCTGAACTATGCCTCCTTCCATGCATATGTTGAAGCCCCAGGACTTCAGAATGGAACTTTGTTTGGAGACAAGGTATTGAAAGGGCAGTTAAGGTGAACCTGAGTCATTTCCTACTATGATTGGTGCCCTTATACAAGGCGATGGGAACACAGACACAGGCTAAGGGAAGACCCTATTAAGACATAGGAGACAGGTGCCTACAAGCCTAGGAGAAAAGCCTCAGGAGAAATCAATCATGCAGACACTTTGGTCTTGAAGTTGTAGCCTCCAGAACTATGAGAGAAAAAATTCCTACATCTCGTATCCTATTCTGTGGTATCTTGTTACGACAGCCCCAGAAAACTAATTCAGGGCCTAAGGACCAGAATGGAGGAATGTCGGAATAAAATAGAATAGGCCAGGCCCCAGAGCAATGGAGAAAAGAACAGTGTGGTGTTCCTGGTGAGAAGGTGTTTCAAGAACGGACTGACCAATCAACGGTGTCAGTTCAGGCTGACCTCAAACTCATGAGCCTATTGACTCACCCTCCCTACTGTTCGATTATAGACACATGCCATTGAACTGAACCGAGCTAAACACAGTTCTTTTTTCTCTCTCTCGTACAAGGAATGGAACCCAGGGCCTCATGCATGCTAGGTGGGTGCTTCATCAGTGAGCTACATTGCCCAGCCCTTGCACAGCAGAACTGTAGCACACCCTGGGTGATTCTAGTGAGCTGATCCACGGAGCAGCACTCGGAACCATTGTCCTTGGTGGATTTTTAAGCCCCTGCATTCTGAGTCAATCCTATTGGTAAAAACGTTCTTGATGTCCTGTTTTGAGCCATACTTCAAAGATAAGGTCAATGTGTATAAAGAATAAATTTCTCTATTTTGGAATTCCTATCTTGCCTAACAGTAAAGCTGTCTTTAGTAGAGAATACTGCTGACATTTATTTTAACAGAAAGACAGCTGGGCATGGTGGTACATGGTTGTAGGTCTAGCACCCAGAGGCTGAGGCAGGGGGATTGCTTCAAGTTCCAGGTCAGCCTGGGCTCACAGTGAGAACTTGTCTCAAAAACAAAACAAAACAAAAATAAAGAAGCAAAACATCCTGGTCAATAACTCAAAGGAAGGTATCTCCTGTCTCGCACTGTTGCTTGTTATGTAGCCTTTAGCTATACACATGGACTCTTAAAAAATTATATTGATCCCTTTAACCCTGGTTATACTTTTCTTTTGGGTGTTTAAGGCCCTACAGTTGTCCTAGATAAACAAATTTATTTTTACTCTTAAGGTCATTTGAGGATTTGTTCCTCGGGGGTAACATGGGCCTGGGAGGAGCCCTTGGCTCCTATCTTTTATCAGTTCCGTCCATGTGAAGATAAGTCAAAGGCCCTGCTCAACCATGGCTGGTTTCGTTTGGAAGCACGGAGGAAATGATTCCTCTGTGTTGACCCTCCTCTTTGTAGACTGGGCACTGGTTCAAGTCCATCTGGTAAGGTCTCCACAGCCTCCTTGATCAAGAGGACAGGTGACTCACCACAGTTACAGGACATTTTGAGAGATGCTTATAGTCCTCTGGAACTTAGCTGACCTAGGAGGGCAAGGAGCAAAAGCTGTCCTTTATGCAAAGTGCTGATGGGTTTGAAGTGAGGTAAAATAGTTGCTTTTACAAGAAAAGAAGACTCGGCAATCTCCCTTTTACTCAGAAACTTTCTTATTCATTGATTGCACAAGTATTCATTTATTTGCACATACATGCAGGCAATGTATGTACTGACAAATTATTACTGTCCCACAAAACTCTAAAGGTGGAACACATCTTGTATTACTTTCAAAGACCTCTGTTTTTATGTAGCAGATAGCAAGTTGGTTTTCTAGAATTTTTCAAATGTACCAACACTGGTCTGTTTTCTACAAGTCTTATTAATATCAATTAGTCCACATGAATATTTACCAAGTTCCTCAAGGGAATGATTTCGTTTGACTACGACATAGATTAGAGGGTTAAACGGGTGTGCTGGATAGCTTTAGTGTCAACTTGACACACCTGGGTTGAGGGAGCCTCAATTGGGGAATTGCCTCTATTGGACTGGTCTGTGGCCATGTCTGAGGGGCATCTTCTTGATGAGTGATGTGGGAGGGCCCAGCCCACTGTGGGTGGTGCCACCCCTGGGCAGGTGGGCCTGTGTTGCATAAGAAAGCAAGCTGAGCAGGGGCCAGGGGAGCAAGCCAGTAAGCAGCGTTCCTCCATGGCCTGTGCTCCAGTTCCTGCTTTCCGGTTCCTGCCCTGAGTTCCTACCTTGGGCTCCCTGATTAACTGCGACCTGGGAGATGTAAGATAAATAAACCCTTTCCTCTCCAAGCTGGTAGTGGTCAGAGTGTTTTGTCACAGCAATGGAGAAACAAACCAGGACAACGGGTGAAGTCAGTGAACTCAGGAGAATGCATTTGCACATCACCAACATGTCACAAAAAAGCTAAGGTCAGGGGGCTGGAGAGATGGCTCAGCGGTTAAGAGTACTGACTGCTCTTGCAGAGGACCAGGGTTCAATTCCCAGCACCCACATGGCAGCTATGGACCATCCTTAACTCCAGTTCCAGGGGAATCCAAAGCCCTCTTCTGACCTCTGCTGCACTGCATAACACAAGTGCACTCACATACATGCAGGCAATACACTAGTACACATAAAATAAAAATAATAAAATTTTTTTTAAAAAAAGGCAAGGTCAGAGCAAAAATAGAAAAAGTACAGAAGTGGGTAAGCAGGGCAGAACTGGGGCTCAAGGGAACAGAGCAGATGATCCCATAGACATAGAGCTGCGACAGAGCACAGAGTGCTGGGAGGACACAAGAGAAACAGAACTCGTCAAAGAGGCAACTTAGTCCCCTGGACCCAGTAGGTTGAGCTACAGTTTGCTCCCTATAAAGGAAGTCAAGGGAAACATTTGGGAGGGATCTGGGCAGAACAGATGGGAAAGATTGAGTGGGGAGTTTCAAGCTAGGTTTAAAGGCACTTTCTTGCTCTTGCCCCTGGCAGTCTTTTAGGACGTGGAGCTCTCTATCACCAATATCTTGGTGCCATGAACTCTAATGACCAGGTCTTAGGGATCCAGGTTGTCTCAACTAGTAAACGGAAGTCTTCTGGCTTTGACAAGGAACACAAAATAAGAGTCAAAAGAAGTATGTACCTGGCAAGATTATTTCTGGAAAGCCCATTTTCCGGGCTATTGCTGTTGATCTATCCACTAGGTGTGAAAAGTTCTTCTGAACCTGTGTGAGGTCACCTGGCAACAGCTTCAGGGACACCCAAAGACCTGTGAGGAAGAAGAAGACACGTTCTTAGTTCTCTTTGTAACACACACACAGAAAGTTGTCTACGACTAACCAGATATACATCATTATAAACAGGTAATCCTCCCCAGGGTAACATATTGTAATGACATTTCCTTCAAAATGACAAGAGGGCTTGGCTTAATGAAGAGTGGACAGATATAAGCAGATTCTCAGATGAGAACAAAAAGCATAAAGACAGTTCTAGTTGAGTCCAAAGTATGTTGCAAGACTAATGTCATGTGACAGTAGTGGTAGAAAAATAAACACATCAGAAGTCATGGGATTACATACAGTAACATGGGATTACATATGGTAACACATGGCAATTTGATAAGTGACGGGAAAAGGCAGAACAAATTATAAATAAACTCATTTCAGGGGCTAGAGAGATGGCTCAGTGGTTAAGAGCACGTGCTGCTCTTCCAAAGGACCCAAGTTTGGACCCCAGGACCAACATCAGACAGCTTACAACTGCCTACAACTCTAGCTCCAAGGGATCTGACACTCTTCTGGCCTCCATGGGCACCTGCACACATGTGCCATATCCTCAGACACACACATGTACACATAAAGATTTAAAAAATAAAAATAATTTTTTTTTGTCTTTTTGAGACAGGGTCTTCCTATAGTCCCAGCTGACCTGAACTCACTATGTAGACCAGGCTGGCCTTGAACTCATAATGATCTGCCCGCCTCTGCCTCCCGAGTGCTGGGACTAAAGGCATGCACCACCACACCCGGCAAAAAATAAAAATAATTTTTAAAACATAATGGAATATTTTCTTGCTACTTAAAACAGAATCGATTTAATTTTTCACCTTATATTTTCATGAAAACAGACTACTAAGATAATAAAGAACAAACAGGAAGACAGGAAGCAAAGGAGAAAAGTGTATAGCCGTTCAGTCTCCGGGAGCTGATCATTTTCAAAGTAGAAAAACAAACTACTAAAGCAAAAGAATTATACACACGTGAAGTTCTGATGAACAAAAACGATATAAAAAAGCATGCTACAGAATGAGGAGATACTGGAAAGAAAACAAAGATCCTCACAAACCAATAAGACATAAATGCACAAATCAGAGAAGAGGGGAAAGTTTATAAACATTTAGCAAACCCCTAATTCGCAATATGTCTCATAAAGAAGACAGAAGGATCATTGTCTTTGTTGTAAACTCTGGGATGGGAACCTTCAGGAAACTCAGACAGATGTTAGATAATTCAGGCTCAATATATGTATTTAGATGCAAGAGGACCACTGAGTCTAATTGTGACCTTTCAAACAGGTGCAGAGAGTTTTAAGTATCAGTTCCCAAGACAGGTGAGTGCACGCATGACAGACACTTGAAAGCCCAGGGCAGGCAGCTGAGCAACATGTACATTTGGGCTGAAGCCCAGTCCCATCAGTGGATCCAATAATTCTACTTCTGGGAGTCGCTGGGGCAGAGTCCTAAATGTGGGAAAAGTTTCAGCATAAAAAGAATCTCAGCAGGGTAATTTAAGTTTAAAGTGATGACCAAAAGGAATTTAATTTTCTAAAATGCATTAAATAAAAATTACAGGAGGTCGTTATTATTCAACTAAGTTCCTCCACTGGACTCCCATATATCAGGCTAGCTATGTTATTATTCAACTAAGTTCCTCCACTGGACTCCCATATATCAGGCTAGCTATGTTATTATTCAACTAAGTTCCTCCACTGGACTCCCATATATCAGGCTAGCTATGTTATTATTCAACTAAGTTCCTCCACTGGACTCCCATATATCAGGCTAGCTATTAAAATTGAGTCATTCCTGGCAAAGTTATACTGCACCTAGAGGAAACTAAACTACTATCTGGCCTTTTCAGAAACTAAGAGAGAAAGATAAAGACCATATTTCCTAAACAGGCCCCTTTCAGTCACAGGGTAAGTTGCCTTGTTTTAATCCTTACATTAAAAGTAACCTAGGTCTGGGGAGATGGCTCAATGGTTAAGAGTACTGGCTGTTCTTCCAGAGAACTCAGGACTCAGCACCCACATGGTGGCTAACAACCATCTGGAACTCCAGTTCCAGAAAATCTGATGCCCTCGTCTGGCCCCCTTGGGCACTGCACACACATGGTACACTTACATACACTCAGGTAAAACAGTCATACACATAAAATACAAATAAATAAATGTTTTTTAAAGTAACCTGATTTATTTTCTTGTTCACCCTCCTCCACACCTGAGGAGAGTTACTAAAAGGACCAACTTTCTTTGTGTGTGTGTGTTTTTCCCCCTTTGTGGTTCTGCTTTTTTTTTCTTTCAGTCCTTCTCTATCTGTAAACCCAAGCTATCCTGCTCAGCCTGTCAGAAAACTAATTCCACTTTACAGAATGAAGTGTTGCCCAATTTTCAAAGACATAATAAACCCACTTAGGATTTTAAACTAAATTTGTTGAAATTTGGTTTTTGACAAATTTAAGCATTAGAATACTTTGCAACCACAAAACTTCGTTATCTGTGCCAAATACAAAGACATTTGGAAAGTTGAGCAAAAAGTTGACAGTTTGTTGAGCAAAACAAAGGAAACGATGTTCTCGACTTTGTTTTGAAAGAAAAAGAAATCGTAGGTAAATGGTGATCTGCTTAGTGTAAGAATTTTCTACTCTAATTAAAATTACATCTAAAGTTCTGAAACAGAGGCTGGGAAGATGGTTCAGCAGGTAAAGGGCTTGCAATGCAAGTCTGAGGACTGGAGTTTGGGTCCCCAGTACCATTTAAATGAGGGCTAGGCATGGCAGTCCACCTGTAATCCCAGCACTCAGAGCTGGGCTCTCCAGAGCAAGCTGTCTAGACTACCCCAAACAGTGAGCTCTGGGTTTAACTGAGACACCAACCCCAGTGAATGAGGTGGAGAGTGACTGAGGCAGACTCTAAATGACAGCCCCAGGCCTCCACATGCATGTGCACACACACACATGCATATCATGCATAGCATGCACAATCACAGGAAAAGAGACATGAGTGTGTGTGTGTGTGTGCGTGTGTGTGTGTGTGTGTATGTGTCTGTGTGTGTGTATAGTCATGTATAGTCATTTTTTTCAGGTTATTTTTTGCTCACACATCTTTCCATTAGAATATACTGAAAATAATGCATTTTCTGATTGCCTTCATTTCAAAGGCAGTTACAAGGCAGTGAAAAAAAACTGACTCCACCTTCAAAATTACCCAAATTTGGCTGCCATCTTGGTACTTGAGTTTTAATATTTTAACTATTTTTCCTTACTATTTGAATTTGAAACGTTTCCACAAGAACTTCTCTTGACTGCAGCATATTTATTCCCAAGTCTCTTTTTCTTGTTCTTTTATTTCAAGCCAACATTGGGGATATGCGGCAGAGGAAAAGACTCACAGGAAAAAGATTTAATTCTGTGGAATAATTGGGGACCTTTGGTTGGGGATGTCTGGGGTGGGTGGGTCCCCAGGGGAGGCTGTTTGGTTCAGAGAGGCAGTGAAAGGGCGGGAGCCCAGGGATCTGGCTCTGGACGGTCCTCCCACATGGTCAAAGTCCCTCCACCCAGGCAGCAGGCCTGTACCTTGCCCTTTGTGGTTCACTTCCTTCGCAGCTATCACCTTATTCAAGACCGAAGTGAGTGGCTCATTCTCTCCGGTCACGTGTGACGTTATCAAGGGTGACATGATGAGCTGTCTCTGCCGGATATAGGTTTCCATGGCAATTCTGGGAAAGACAAGGGAGGAGAGGAGGGAGCCGGAAGCAGAGAAAGTTTCTGAAACATGACCTAAGAACATGGAAGGTCTTATGGGAATAATCTGGAGATAGGAACACGAAACCTCACCAGAGGGTTCTGATGTCAAACGGAAATTACAGGAAGTCATTGCTTTGAACTAAGTTCCTACACTGGGCCCCAAAAGACCAATATGGAGTACCTTATGCTAAAGCTCTAGGCTACACGTGCACCAAGCTGAGGCTAAGCTGAATACCTACCTTCCAGAACCTCAGGATAGAGGAGGAAACAGCCAATCTTTTCAAAGAGGCTGGTGTCAGTTAGTATGCTAATCAAGTTCCCTCTGCCTGGATCCTTTTCACACAAAAAAAGCAACCTCCTAAATAAAGTAACCTAATGTTAAACCAATCAGTTATTCTTCTGTTTTGTTCCCCTGTCCCCACCTTTAAAATTACTAATCCGCTGTTTGTTTTCTATTCCTGCCTATAACCCAATCTCCTCTGCTTGGCTCACTGGGACAATTGTTCTGTTTTATGACATTGTAGTGTTGCCCAATCCTAGAATAGAAACTAAGGGCAATTAAATAAACTGTTGTAATTTTCTCCTTGATACTTTCTTTCCTTGATTTTTCCACTGGGCCTATTTCTCAAATGCTACATTCATCTTGAAAATGACATGAGGCAAAGAAGGGAGAAGGGGAGGAAGTCCAGTGATGGCCAAGGTAAGAACAGGTAAAGTCTCAGTCATCTCTTCAGCTCCATTATACATATA